CTTGTAAAACTCGTGTTTCTTTGTTAAGCAAAATAAATCGTTGTATTCTCGATTTATCGGCGTATTCAACAATCCATTGGATAAAGCTTCATGTTATTTGCTCTGTGAACCTTTGTTTGTAAACTTTGAAAAAATAACGGGCTTAAACTTCAAAGAAATTTGAAACAAATTAAACCTTTAATTTACTGTTCTTTATAAAAACTCAGTGTTGATATCGACCGATATGTCAGTTAGTACGAACACTAGTTTTATTAGGGTATTTTTATTTAGTAGCAAAGAGTATGTTAGCAGATTGTAATTGTTTTTCTAAAAATAACATAGAGCTGTACAACCGAATTTCAAATTCTTTTATTTCAAAGCTTTTGAACTTGTCACATTTGTGAAAGTAACAATACTGCTGACAATAACCAACATTGAATGACCGCACTGCACTGCAAATAACAATCTTTCAAATAACCAACATCTCAACAGATCTACTAAGTTTTTTGATTATTTCATCTAAATTCAAAGAAAAATTTGAAAATCCGTTAATGCACGAAAAAAATGTCTGCATGGTATTTAGTAAGGATCTGGTTATTCTTTCAACTGATAACAAAAAGCTAAACTTTTATAAAATCTAGCAATCGAATATTTTGTTTAGAGAAATAAACTAAAACAATGATTATTAAAAATGTCCTATTGAAGTATCACCAATACCGAAAATTTCCTCCTCTATCGCGTTCATTCGATTACAAAAAACCTCAAACCTTTCTTGAGAGTGTTCTTTATGTTGAAATAATATATTTGGTTTGATTTGGTCATTTATCCCGAGATAAAAGGAGACAAACTATTAGAAATAACTCATATTACTACAGATCACTGTTACGAACGTCCCGACTAATAATGAAATGGCCGCTTTTGATTCAATCGCTCGTAACAAAAGGAGTAAAACTTTGTGGAGAATTTGTTATCATTTTTTAAGATATTTACTCAATACACTAATAATTCTGATATAAACGTTATAACATAAATGTTAAGTGTTCAAACTTATCTAGGACAACTAATTTCAGTGAGTCTTACGTTGACGGTTATAATGTTCTGGATTCTTTAGTTCTTTCGTAGATGGTTCGTTTTCTTTTATTAAGTTATTTTCGGGTTTCTTGTTTGTTTATGTTTCACTTTTTACTTCCTTTTGATGCGGACTTCTACTGGGTACCAACATGACTATAGCTTTCGTTTCTCTGGTTATAACTGATCGTACAATGAAGTAGGATTAAGCGCCTATACGTAGACTGTGGTCAGTTGTTTAAACACGTCCTATACGTTTTTTAAGGTCAGTAAGTTGACCACATCCTATGTGTAAGTTTTTCCTGTTATTGTGGTTATCATACACATGCATGTATGAGTAAGGCATTTTACAAAGGTCACTAACCAGTTAACTAATAATATATTCAAGTATTAAATATGGCAATAATAAATATAACTTACATGATTAAGGATTTTCATGTAACATCACTCATCAAAGTTAGTCACAGTAAGATGGCTGCCACACTTGACTTCTGACTTCAATTTTTGTATGTATAATATACAATAGATGCGCTTTCCATGTATTTAGCTCAGTGATGTTAAGGTTAAGCGTAAAGATATGATAAATAGGATTAGCACTTTGTATTATAAAATGAGTAGAAACTAGAAGAAAAACGAAAAATTTGTCGTGAATAACGTCTGCTTTTAATAGATTCAAAAATGATACGGCTTGAATTTTAATTAAAAAATTAATGAAAGAATTTGCAAAGACTTTTCAGTGATGAATTTTACACCACTACTAACTATAAAGCATAAAACATTTCCTTTCAAAACGTACATGTTGATAACAAGACTTAGGAGATTAAAACTTTGCATTGTATTACTGAGGATGCTATGGCAACAATATCCACATTTCATGTATGTAATATTTCCAACGTTTCACATGGTGTCATTGTTGGTAATATAGCAGAAACATCAACAACTAATGTGGATAGTAAGTCCAAAGTATCAAACTTGGTTGGTGAGGATAATATGCAAATAATATTCCCAAATCTTATAGCTTCATCGTATTAATTACTGTCTTAGCCAACAATTTTAAGTTAATTAAAGGTAACAAAAATACCCATTAACCTCAATTGCAGATGAATGCATGTTTTAATCAAGTTAAATGCATAGAAATATACATTTTGAATGGTGGTGAAGAAAGAGCTAGTAATAAATCTTAATTCTTGAATCAACCCAATCGATGATAAACATCAGTTAATGATATGTCAGTACAGCTTTACCAGATTCTCTAGTCAAACTTCTTAATTAAGTCCTAACCCTTACGAAAATTATCAATAGGATCTTATTAGAATTCCAATAGGAATATAAGATTCCTGTAGGAAATCCTATAGGAAGGCAGAGTGAATTCATTTCTATTCCGATTCCGATAGGAAATATATTAAGAAAATGGCGGCAATTTTAAAGCCTATAGGAATATTTAAATTCCTGTAGGAATTCCTATAGGAAGGCAGAGTGGAATTCATTTTTATTCCGATTCCGATAGGAAATATATTAAGAAAATGGCGGCAATTTTAAAGCCTATAGGAATATTTAAATTCCTGTAGGAAATCCTATAGGAAGGCAGAGTGGAATTCATTTTATTCCGAATCCGATAGGAAATATATTAAAAAATGGCGGCAATTTTAAAGCCTATAAGAATATTTGAATTCTGTAGAAATCCTATAGGAATCCATAATGGTGATTTGTTTTGCAATTCCGACTGGAAATCCTTTAAAAAAATAGTGGGAATTAAAAACCTTTACGAATATTAAAATTCCTATAGGAATTCTCCTGGAAATGTTATTAGAAAAACATATATAGCAATCGAAATATATAGGGGTATGGAGTTGGTGGTTGTGTAAAAGACAATGATAATGTCATCTCTTGAATCAAAGGCTGCTGATGTTTGAATTCTTTACCAGAATTTAAACAACAGCTTTACGAGCTGACATTGATTAAACTCCTCAAAGCAGAGCAACAAAACATGTCGAAATTTAGTCATTAGATAATGAGTTTTACAACCATTACGAACACCAACAGCATGCAATTGAAGAGGAATTGATTTTCGATTTCGCCACCATTGAATTAAGTTGTTTGCTTTGTTATAGTTGGTATGCGATTCCTTCAGGGATTCCTATTACAATGTGAAATCTCATAGAAAAGAGAATTCTTATAAGAAGTGCTTTAGAAAAATTCACAGGAATTTGCAAACTTATAGAAAAATATATTTTCAAATTCTTACACAAAAAGCTATGGGAAAAATGTAAAATAACAAACTCAAATCATCCTTGAATTAGCTAAAAAAAATTATTGTGAGATGAAGTTGGATTTTTTCATTTGTAATAAAAAAATCGTTTTGGGAATGTCTTGTTGACTGTTACGACAGTGAAATGGAATTTACATATTTTTCTGTATGATATGAATAAAACAACACATTCCAAAAGAGCTATAGTACAAATTAATGATTATAAACAATTTAAAACATATGTAGTGGCATGCATTATAAGCAAAGCTTTGTACGATATACAAGAAGTTATCTGTTTTGAGTTACGCGTCATATATACAACATGCAACAAATACTGTGTATCTAAAATATCTGTCCAGTCGAGTATTCTCAAACTTACAAAAAATGAAAGACAACAGCAATCCTTTCTATTTTGAGTTAATCGCCGTAAAACTTACATGGCAATTCAAAAAAGTCTCGATTTCGTAGTTTTAAGTGTACGCCTTTGTCTTTAATTTGGTCAGGTTTGAGAGCCACAATTTGGTCTCTGTTTGTACACTCTCTTACGAAATGTGAAGTAACACCACATTCTTTGTTGGAAAACAGCGGTCTTCCTCCACACAAATCAAGTTTTTTCACAATCACAACATAATATACTTCGCACTGGCATGCCTGTAATTCAGCAGTGCTGCATTGACAGTCTGGCTGTACACGGTAAAGCCCAACAACTATACCATACTTGGTAGTTGAGCTGTCGATTTGCACATAATAATCATGGTGTCTTTGGGATCTTGTATAACTTTCCGAAGTGTATAGCACATGATTTACAATAAATCTGTTATAAAAAGTAGCTGATCGATTGGCAACGTCTCTGTTAATCATTTTTGCCACGGAAATGGTCTCAGATGGTGTGAGACGAACAGCTTGTCCATTTCCAAGTCCAGTAACAGCTCTAGTAAGAGCCCGTTCACTATTTGTAGGAATTTTGTCTTTGGAAAGTTTATTGAACAAGTGCCTTACTCTTGGACATGCGTCATCACGAATACACTCTTTCCCAATACCTGGTAGTTTCTGCGACAGTATAAAAGTATCGCAAATCTGTTGTGGAACATATTGGGTACCATTAAACATTTTCAGCAAAAAGTGGTTGTTGGCTTCGAATGCAAAGGCAGAAGTAGCCCAAAGTGGCCCGCAGTTCCTTACGCCTTCCGCTAAATGCGTCATAACGTGTACATTGAATGTACAGTTAGTCAAACCGTACAACTTTTCCATATCAGTTGCAAATTTAACAAGGCATGCGTTGGCTCGTGATAACATTTCATCACTAATTCTATTACCAAGTAATGTATGTACACCATGTACTAGCAAAAACAAATGCTCTAAATATTCACGAGGAAGCAAGCCATTTAGAACCACAAGACCATAAAAAAGAAATGCTCGCCACTCCGACGCTTTCCAAAATTTTCGCTCTTTTATTGATCTAGGGGCTCTAGTTATTTCAGAAGGCGGGCATATTACAGACAAGCGTTCATCTAATAGCTCGACGTTTCTTCCCAAATAAAAGTTCTTTTCGTGGTTTCTCGAATCAAGCCAAAGATTGCACAGTTGACGGACTACTCCTTGACACACAGAATGCATATACTCCGGTGTAAAGCCTCTCACTGTATCAAATGTGGGAAGAATGTCGATACGCGAAAGCCCTTTACCCCATTAACTGCTTCTTTTCTCATTTCAGCTTCGAAAGCATATTCTGCTTGATTCTGTGACGTTCTTGAGCTTTGATGACCACGCTGTGGATAGTAACGAGTTGGGGACCTCTATTACGGAGAACAGACACACCTTCATGTTCACACCAATCGCACCCGTACTTACCATTAAACTGCTTGCAGTTTCTCAACATTGCACGAGCTGGGCTGTCGCTGGAACATACTAATGCGAAAACTTTGCGAGGTATAATTTCTTCACGTAAAAGAAATCCCTTTTTTTCCAAATCATGGCATTCGTTCACAAATGCTTCAAGAAAAGTGTTCATCTGTGGTTTTGTCGCACCAAACCACAAACCTGTAAGTAGAATATTCTTGGAACGAAGGTGAGGAGGTAGCTCGTTTATCATACATTGGATAGGCCAAATAGAGTATTGTGATGACTTAAAAACAGGAATGCCATCTGCATTCCAAGTTAAAGAAATGTCATTTTTCGCCATAGCTTTATCCCTTATCAGGCTCTTATATAGTTTACCCGTAGTTACGTCTGATATAACAGTTGATTCAGTCAAAACTTCCAAATTCCTGTTGGTTAAATATTCATAAAGAATGGGATCAGACAGGAGCTGCTTAAGTTGTTCTTTTAGTGGAATATGAAGAAAAAAGGTGCCGTTCTTCATGCTGTTTTCGCGATTGAAAGGTGTATCACATTCATCACACTTTGTGCTTTCTGCGCTTGTTCCAATGTACGACAAACATGACTCGCAATAAAAATGAGCCTGCAAAGTATAACAATTAATTTTTCAGGGAGGGATATAAACTGTAAATCCGTAACGTTATTTGCCGCTAGTTCTAATCCAGTTCGATCATTTTCATCAAGAATACAAGCCCTAAATATGCAGAATTCGAATTGTTTCACCACTTTTCTTCTTTAAATTGCACAAAATAAAGTTGAATTTTAAGATATTAAATGCACGAAGCTAACTACGTATTCCAGTCGAAAGTCGTTATAAAGAAAACCATATTAGAAAAATTCAAGATAGTTTTCTTTTACCTGAGATTCCTCCACTTGAATTGCTTTGTAGAACTTATACTTGCTGGATGGAAACGTGCTCGGCAAAATCAAACTCAAAATGTCGAGTAGATCAGTCAAAGCTGCATCTGTTAAATTGTTCTTTAATAAAAATGCGACGAGCAGGAGAACACTTTGAGACTTTGTTATAAGAGCACCAGGATATATTTCTTCATCACCATTTTCGATGTTTAAAACCTAAATACAAATTCTGAGTGTAAATCGGAATGTAGTAGCTATTATATGGTGGGGAGGAAGTTCATGTTCATATATTCATGTACCATAATCAATAATTAAAATGGATTTCAAAAGAAATTGATAAAATAGAACACACACAAAAAAGTGAATATTAGCCCTCTTTCCCAATCCTTGATCTTCTGCCTACCCTGGTTCTACGTACTGTATGATGTTTCACATTCACCTGCAGTGCTTCATGTCCAAGGCCATTATTATTAAGCTGGAAATCAACATCAATTTTTCCATTCTCCTGACATGCCTGTGCCTGTGTCTCTTGATCATTTGATGAAATTGAATCTAATTTTTAAAATATATGTTCCATTGATTAAAGCGTTAATGAAACAAAATTTTGCCAGACTGTTTTCTAAATACATTACAATAACTATTCAAGCTCATCTAGCATCTTACAAACTATTTTTGTTAAGAAATAAAAGATGTTTACTGTGTTTGCATAGTTTTATCCAATCAAGGAGACCTTTGGGAGAACTCGGGTGCAGATCAGTGCAAGCCCGAGACTGAACGTTGAGGGTTGCACCTGCTCGAAAGTTCTCACAAACGTCTTCGAGGTTTGCATAAGCCAGTGCAAACATGAAAAACATCTTTTATTTCTTTTATAAAATAACAATAATGCGAAACAGAGAAAACGTTCTAATATTCTTTTAACATGTATTCATGATCGACTTGCAAAATCTTTTAGATTGATTGAATGATTTGATTGGTTGAGCGCAGATTGTTTTTCAAAGGGTAATGCAATGCAGCTCTGGACCAATCAGCAGACACGTTTCATTATGTTTATTTTATAATTATCTTTGTTACACTGATATTGAAATTTTTTCATTAAGCAAATTTTCTGGTAATGAAACACTTTGCATAACTAACGTTTGATTTGCAAATATTTTGAAGTGCATCAAATTTTCACACTCCTATCTGCCATGTATTGATTATTTTCTTGTACTAGTCAATAAATCTTTTAATTGTGTTGAGAACTGATGCAGTCTAAATATGACTATGCAATGTAATGTCACAAGATGATATAGGTATTTGCATAGAAAAGGAAGGCGGAAACATCTTTTATACCATTCACAAGCTAGCTAACATGAAAATTTAGACATTTTAAGAGGTCAATGAAATGCAGTTTGCAATGCTTTATAAACACTTTGATCATTGTCTGTAATGTTATGTGACCTCATAGATTGTTGAAAGAGATAATGTATATTTATCAGATATAATGTATATAATGAAAGATATAATGTATGTGTATGAACACATGCACTTATAGGCTTATACACCATTGATAGACTGACTTGGACAATAGCAATAATAATAATATCTTTTTTATCTACATGAATTGAGCACACTGTAATACACGCAAGTCGACTTGAAGCACCAAGTTGAAAGCTCAACAAAATGAATAGTGTCAATACAAAGAAATGTCTAATCTAATATCGTTATCTATGTATATTTATTTTAAATCTATTTGCATCCAAATTCAATATTACAATCTGTACAACAAACAAAATTGCATGACTCGCCATTACATACAATGAGTATCAAAAAATTTAAATCAAAATTTTATAGACAATCATGCATTTCACACATTGTTTTTTAAGGTTATATTTGAATACAGCAAGATAGCAAGGCCCTTTACCTTTCCAGTTAATGAACTCCTCAAATAACAACTTCATGTTAAAATTAAATTTTTCACCACTGGGAATTAAATAGAATACAATCATTCTCAAGCATATGATACAACACATGGAAAACCCTCTGTTTAGTTTTAGCTTGATTGAATTTGGTTTTGGTTAATTGGCAGGAAACTTCATTTTAAATGCACTCAATTGCTAAAAGTGTAAAATGCAATTTCAACATGCAAATTTTATTTGACAAGTACTTTCGCATCATTTTGATTGTATGAATTCATTAATAGACATAATTATAACTGGACATTAAAGGAGCTCCTGATTCTTGCTACAAGTTTACACAAAAGTAAAATTACAAAGCACAATGTCTACTGCAAAATTACCGACAAACGTTCCATTATTATTTTTTGAAGCACAGATATAAGTGTATCATGAAATACAATTAAAATTAAAACTTCAATTACAATGTATTGATGCCAATTATGTTAGGAAAGGCAAGAGGTATGTTACACAAATGTCTGAACATATGCGAATGGAGACACATTTAATTGTATAGCGTGGATAAAGTATGGGATAAAATTTTGAAGCACTAACAAAACAATATTACCAGAAATAATATCTAAATGAAATTTTCCATACCATATCAGATGAAGTTGCTTGATCTATCTCCATCGCAGCACGCAACTGCTTTCGTCGTCTATATTTTGTTCTTCTTGGAAGATCAACAGTGGAATCAACTGCATATCGTTTGTATTGCCCTCTTGAGCCCATAAGAAAAGCTTAAATTACAAAACCGCGAATACAAGTTTTATCAAAACGCTAAATTTTGACAAATTTTGAAGAATATTCATGACAAACTGCTCACGACGAAAGTAGCAAGCGTTTGTTCAAGTCAGCGGTGAAATTACTACAATTGATATTTACCGCCATTACCACAGTAACATCAATGCTGATCTCACATCACCAAGGTGACAAAGCAAATTTCCTTGCCACTCAAGTAATCAAGTTCAAGTTGTTCTCAGCGTTTTGCAGCTCGCTGTTGTGAAAAGGTGACCAAGTGTGAAAGTTAAGAATGAAGTTTGCGATTTTCGATTTTGGAGACAATACTTTTGATATTGGCCAAACATCATGGATACAAGATGAAAATTCTACAACATTTGATAACGAATCCTGGCTCTTTACCCACGAAATAATTGTCAAGTGGCCCATAGACTTCAATGCAGCGAAACGAAAAATGCGAAAAAATTGATGTAGATACAATCAAAACGGAAAGCGAAAGATATCCAGCAAGAATTTTAAAATTTGGAGGTTGGCGTTTGATTTTGATTTTGAAATGCCACTGCAAAAATATAAATTTAAAACGTATAAATATTTCGAATAATCGTTTCTGTATAAACTAAATTTATAAAAATGAAAGTGACAATATGGCGGACACTTACTTTTCAAAAAGCATTGCTGGATATATACCATTTTTTGTCATGAGAATGAGTATCTATAATTTCTCTACAAGTTTCGGATTATAAAAACTATAAAAATCGTAAAACTATAAAAGCATTCTACATTTTATTATTAGATGACTTTGACTCCATGGATTCATGCTTAGAGATGTATCTGAAAAGTGGAAAAACTTCAACTCCTAAAAGAGGAAAAGGTCAAAGAATCTCACAAAAGAATTATAAATACCATTCCGACTCCGATAAGGAGGATTATGAAGTCCAGTTTGGTTCACATATAAGTAAAAAAGTATGTTTTTTATCGTGATTGGAGATTACAATCTTTTTGGTATCACTTTTAGATTCCAGCTTTTGTAGAAACTGCTAAATATTGTACTAAAAAGGCGTTACTGTCTATATGATTGTTTTTATTTAGCCTCCTTCAAAGAAAAGAAAAGTCCAGAAAGATAGTTCAAAGAAAAACTCCTTATATTCCATGGTTAAAGAAAATATAAACAAACAGAGGTATTCATATTGTATTAATTACTTGATGCTTCATTAGTATTAATATGTCCTGAGGAGTAAAAGATCATTGACCGGTTGTTTTTAAAGGGACATAGCTTAATGTTAAAACTAACTTAGGGTTTGATTTGTTAACATAGGGTTAGCTAATCCTGTGTTAAAATTTTGTTTTTAAAGTAGAGTTCAAGCACTGGTCTAACTAACTCTGAGTTAAGACATTTAACCTTGAGTTAAAAAGCGCGACTCCAAAAGATCAATTAACAATGTGTTCAATCAAATCGACCAATCACAGACGAGAAGCCAGCTGGCAAAAGTTGTTTTTCCTTTTTTATCCATTAAGTACTTTCTCGATAATGGAGCATGGCCATTTTTGGATGTGATTCTTACGTCTATTTACAGCCAACGATAGTTAGAAGTAATGAGTTTTGAAATATTTTCGTGTTTCATAAGCTTTTGTCAATTAATTACAGCTAATGTGCGTTCTTCTCATGTTCAAATATGTTATTTTAGTTAGGCGAGCATTGTATGAGTACTCGTAATGCACTTTTGGATAAATTCATACGCTGAGTGAGAATATATATTTAAACATTGAAATAAAATAAGTTAAACAAAAGTATATGTTGTCGCTACTCGTTTCACAGAGCAGGGCAATCTTCTCGGGAATCTTAAGCATTATGATTAATATAAATGTTTTACTGATTTTTTAAAAGTTTGAAACAGTGCAAAATGAAGAAGGCAACTTAAACGAGAATCGTTCCGTAAGTATACAAATTTTTTGCAGTTCTTAGCAGTTGACGTTGCCCAGATAGAGTAAGTTTTGCTTTCTTATTTAACGTATTCAAGGTTTGCCTGGTGAAAGGGTATTGTCATTATAAATGCCCTAAATTATTGTTTCTACAATGCTTTGTTTACAGGACAGTACATCCTTTTTACAGCTAAAAAAAATCGAAAATCGTTTAAAAGAACTTTCCGAAGAATGTAGAAACTTAAAGATACAGACGACAAATTTAGCTGCGTTGATGAATTCTGTGAAAGGTAAATGTTGGAATAGTGGCAAGAACTGGCAATGTCTTCAACAATTGAAATGTAAGTTCTTTCATTTTCAGAATTGCCCATTATTGTCAAAAGCCTGGAAACATTAATTAATGAACTCCAGTCAAGCAGTACTCATTCAGTCTCGCCACCTGTGAACACTGATTTACCAAAACACCTGTCCCCTTTATGCCTTAAAAGCTCTTGCGATGCACCTACGATTGAGGAAAATGATAATGCTGGCAACGGAGTGGAAGAGATGGTAAGAATAATGCCTTCTTAGTTAAAATAAAAGTCGTCTATATACGCAATGCCTCAGCACAATTCCGTAAAAAAAAAGGTGTATATCTATAATGTCAAGCAAATATCATTATATGCAGTATTGGAAATTTAAGAATATGAATATAGCTACAGGGTGTATAAAAAAACGGAACAGTTATGAAAACGCTGCTAAAGGTGTAAGTGTGAAAAATTTGCAAAAGCACTTGGTTAAAATAGTAAATAAGACTTTATATCTGAAGGTAAAGTTTTGGTAAATAACAGACTTTTTAGAATAAAAATTGTGTTACTAAAGCTTTTTTGATCTTGCGGATATGATTACTTAAGCGAAATTTCCTAACTGTTCAGTTTTTGGTAGCTACACCATATAGCAATCAACATATCGGTATTTTTGTGCGTAGTCAGAGACGCCAACTAACAGCACAATTAAAGTGCCTTTTGTTTAAGATAGGCATTCCAAAACAATCCAGAAGATGCTTCTTAACTTCTACTGGATCTCACAAATTTATTTTGGATCAACAGGTGGAGAAGCCAACTAGGCGAGCAACTTGGTTGCTGTCTTTCAATTTCTTTTTGCTAGCGGCATTGCAGTTTAAAATTCGACCTGATATGTTTCAGGAAACCATGTTATCATGTTGAAAACTGATGAATTATAGAGTCGTAGTACGTTGTAGACATTACCTTGTTCTTGCTAAATTTTCTCTTTTTTCGGAACCTAGAGCATAACTCGTGCATGTGAAGAAAAAATCATAGCTATAGCAAATGGTAAAAGCATTAAATTTAAATGGAAAAAGAAACGACACTCCTTATAAAATAAACAATATCTATTCCAAACGTTATTCATTTCTATTTAATTTTTTTTTATTTGTAATCTTCGAAATGTCCGCATTTTCTACTGATGATGATACCTTGTAACATGTTACACTTGTGAAAGCGTTTAGAATAAATATTCTTTACTTTATACGGAGTGTCAAGTGTTTCGTGTTTTAGTAAAACACTTTATGGCAATCGTAATTGAAGGGTAATATAACTTTTTTCAACACTATGCATTTGAAATTTAAGCCTTCTAAATTTTTTATTAGGTAGCACTGGCTCCTGGTATTACGATTTTGCCTTCGCAGAGGGATCTTTTGACTTTACAAGGAAGTCCAAAAAACTACACATATGCGTTAATGGACATGATGTGGTCCAGAGATGTGTTGGCAACACATTCCCTAACAGGAAAAACGTCCAATGCTCACAAAGATAAAACACCAAAGCCTTCATTGGATGCTTCAAAAGTTGCTGCACTGTGTGGTAAGTAAAGCTTTTAACCTTTTTTTTTTTTAAGATGTATAATACAGTTTGTTAATACGGTCAGCCTTGAGGATTTTTTGTGGGATGGCTTTATGCAAATTGGAATTAATATAGGTCCTTTAGAAAACTACAACATTTAATAGAATATTTGATGTAGTTACAAATAGATTTGAGATGAATTGCAGCATGTTTCAAGACATATACCAAAAACCAATAAAACTATATGAAACTTTAAATTGTTTTATAGTGTAGTCAAAAATTAGAGACTATGTACATGATATCACCCGACAGTTTCAAAACAACAAAAACTAAGTTTGGGGCGGAAAAGATGAACGCGTCTGCTTACAGAGCTGACAGTTCAATAAAGGTCACTAAAGTAGTTACTACATTTAGAAATCCCCAGGTACCAAGTAGCTACCACATGAGCGCTCGAAACAGTGTTATACGGTCTCGCTCAGTAGCTATAATTTTAAATTGACACTCCACCAGGTATACTCTATGATTTCTAATTTTTTAAATCAGATTTCTGTCTATTTTAGATGTGGTTGTAAAAAAATTTCGATTACCTGACAAAAAAATGGTGAAAGGATTCATAAAGGCAAAGCTAAACAACAGCGAAAGATGTAAAAAATTCAAAAAAAGTGACAACGTACCAGATAACTGATTCTTTTTTATAATTTTATTTTTGATAGTTAATTTTCATGTTTTTTTCTAATTATACATACATGTACGTTATTTGTATTATTGGTAATTTTTGCAATTTTATTAACGTATGCAAGTTTTAAAATTTTTAAGTTCTATTAAATTATTTGAGTTTTCTGTATTATATTTAATGGTCATCTACAGTCATGTGTCTGTTTTTTATGACTTATCAATCCTATGATCCTGTAAGAATTTATAGTCTTTCAGAGAGTCTTATAGAAACTTGTGGGGCAAAACTATGTCATTTAAAATCATGTAGAATTCCCTATGTATGTTTTAAGAACTCCCCATGACAATTAGATTATGTAGCAATTCACGTGAGATTTTATAAAAAATACGATTAGATTCTGTTGTAATCTGTAAGCAATAGTTTAGCCTCTTTACAAATTCTTTTAAGAGTTTTGTGGGAATTTTCGCCGGAGATCTAATACGAATTCTTATAGGAATTCTTGCAGGATGTCTTATTGCAGTTGTTGTAGGAATTTGTATAGGAATGCTTGTAGGAATTCCAATAGGATTCCTTTGTAAGAATTCGTATAGGAATTCTTGTAAGAATTCTTATATGAATTCCTATAGGTTCCTACAGCATGCTACACGTTGTTCCTATAGGCTCATGGGCCAATTTCCAATAGGATCCTATAGGAAGTTTTAATAGGAATTTGGAGATCAGGTAAGAATTCTTATAGCAATAATTTGTGTAGGAAAACTTGTAGGAATTCCAATAGGATTCCTTTGTAAGAATTCTTATAGGAATTCTTATAGGAATTCCTATAGGTTCTTACAGCATCCTATAGATTATTCCTATAGGCTCATGGGCCAATTTCCAATAGGATCCTGTAGAAAGTTTTAATAGGAATTCCTATTGATAATTTTCGTAAGGGAAGCTCATATTTTGCTGTTTACTGTGGAATTTACGTTGGCATTTGGTTTACTGTTATAGCAGTACCAATGCTTGAGACGTCTTTTTGTACTTCTGCTGCAGGTTCACAAATTTCCATGTCTGAACCATACATGTCTATTGTTGTTTCGTGATCGGACGTTCCATAGATATCTTGTCTCGCTGCTGTTTCTGGTTCATATGATCCTCAAATATTTCAGCATGAGGCTCCAATGGCTGGAATAACTTCTAATAAACTACTATTATAAAGATTTTCAACCGTCGTATTTTCAGTTTCATAGATGTTTTGTACATCGGCGATAATGCCCATGCCATACGCAGTTGTAACACGTGTTGCGTCATACAGCTTTTGACTATGTAAAGAAAATGAATAATTCCGTTCAGCATTTTATCAATAATTTTCCTGTTTTTTTCAACAATATTCTTTCGCATTTGCATCCACGCAAACTGGTAATTATAACTTTTTTTGTTCATGGTAAAACGCTTTTTATGAAGTGTTTAATGAAAATGTTTTATAAAGGAAATGGATCCATTATATAACAACAGAACAAAGTTCTTCATGTGGAAGAGAAACTCTTTCACTTGACACAAGAATAGTCTTTATTGTGTGTTAGATACTAATAAGGTCCATAAGACTTAATTTACAATTAAGGTTTACATACATGACTTGAACTCAAGCTGGGAAAAGCAAAACTCGACTTGGATTTTCTTACGACATGCAGAAAGCGCTCTGTGATACCAAAATACATGAACCTGTCTTAGTTAATAGAGCATCAAAATCGTGTGACTCGGAATACACCGAGTCGGCAGCATAAATTTTCGTAGCAGCAGTATCTGTGTTTCTGTATTAAGCGAGATGCAAATATGTGATGGAAAAATATTAATGTACATCCTAAAGACAATAGCAAATGGACTTATTGACCGCTCTCTCTCTCTCTCTCGTTTTTTTCTGTGGAAATATTAGACGTTTGAATTTTTAGTAAACACATATCTGTCGGACAAAACATCTATAGGTCTGATATCTGCAAGTGCATGCAGGTAAAGCCCTCTTATCTTGATAGCAGAGGGGTCTTTTTAATCCAACTACTAAAGTAGATTTGAATTGAAATTACTGCCATATCAGATTTTTCTTCTTTTTTTCCTTTTTCTTTTCTTTCTTCTTTTGCGACACATTTTTCGCCTTTCCTGTCTTACCTTGCTTTGCAGTTTGTATGTTCGTTTTCTATTGGAAATAAAATTAAATAAAAATTTTGCTTGTCATCTATTCTAATTTTTGTATGTAAACAAAGAAGACCAAAAACCCTCGTTTAAATTTGAGCATTGGCGTAGCCAGCCCGCAAATTTGGTCCTCCTATGTGAATTTTTTTTGTGTTCACTCACTGTAAAAACAAAAGATTTCTAAAGAAATGAATAACGTTCATGTCCTAAAATTTTCATAGCAAGATCAAAACTTGATGGCTGTCTACGCCACTTAATTTGAGTGTCAAAAAGTTCCAAAAAATCGTTACTCAAACAGCGTTACACGCAAGACAACGTTTAAATATTAATTGCTATTTGTGGCTATCAGTTATTATAAAAATTTGAAAAGGAAAATTTTTCTCCCTAATACTCCTGTAACTTTCCGCAGAATAAGTATACAATTCATTCTTTTGAATTTCCCAATATTGACAGCGTACAAAAACCTGACTCCCATTCTTGTATTTTTTCGATTTTTGAGCATGGCCTGATATTATATGTACACTTTTTGCTAATTTTGTTCTTATATCTGAACTAAACAATGCTACTATCTAAATTTGCTAATCCGAAAGTTATATTTGTACCAATCATGATTAAATTTTAATTGTTTTTTTAGCTAATGTCTATTTTGCATTTTTTGAAACAGATCTTTTTATTCGCTAACTATGATGTTTCTGAACTTTATTGTTCTCAATGCATGAACACTAAGCATCTTCATCATTGTTGATCATACACCATATGCTTAATGACGTTGAAAGGCAGAAGAGCTTAGTGCATTGTGGTGTTAGTTGTCACACGAATGAAAACACTACACTATGCCTACTATTTTTAGCTAGTCTGCGACTGTTTCTCAAAATACAATACCTGATTTTAATTAAAAAAAGACCTAAGCTCTCTTATAAATTCTTAATTGGATCTTTAGGTGTTTGGCGGATATAAAAAAAAAACAGCAAAAGAAGAGTTTCGGCGTTCCTACAACGGCAAAAGGCATCGCGAGCTTTTTCTTTATTTTCTGAACTGTAATCGTATATAATACACAAATACATGCATGGAACAGGTTATTATAGTATCGTAGAAGATTCTTTATCAAACTTTCGCCTGGCTAATGAATTCACAATGTACTGCTATCATCGCATTTTAACGTCATTACGCATAAGGTCTATTAAAATTCTTGACAGAAACTTACCTTTTGCTGTTTCACCTTTTGTTGCAGTCCGTCCTGTAATGATGATACAGCTTTACAGTTTAGTTGCATACTTGATTACTTTCTGCTGCAACAAACTGGGTAATAAGATGCTAAGTTTTTTTAAATAATCTCGTGCACTGCAATTTATTAGCTAAAAAAACAAAATATCCGTCCTAATTAGAATTGTATTTTGACGATGTTCTACGACAATTGCTGATGGCAAACTTATAATAAAATTAGTAATGTTTTAGAACAACAAAATTACAAAAGATTTAAAACAGTTGTTCTATAATTATCAAATAAAATTTTTTACTAAGGACTACATTTCCGTTGCTGTAGTGCATTTGATAGCAAAATTAAGGAAGTAACGTAGTGTAGCAATAGAAATTCTACGTCATAAAATAACGAGATGTATTAAAATACTTATGAGCCAAAGTACCATAGGGAGAAGGGAGAAGATAAAATACTGCATTTGAACGTCTTTTAAAAATAATGAGAGTAAAGTTTCTTCCACAGTTATTTTTCATAGTTTAAAATACAGGTGAGGAAGTTATATAATCTATTTGATTTAAACTACTCATGAGTTTGATCCATTTATCTTAGTTAAAACACTCCAATACATAAATGTAAGTTGAAATTATACGCTTTATACGAGAAATTGCTTCATACAATCCTCTAATAATAGCAGTCCTCTAATAATAGCAAGTTCGGTGGACGTTTCCTTGTAAAACAGAGACCAAAGATCGAAGGATTTGGTAAACTCGGCCAAATATACTCTGGACTGTTGCACTTCTGATGCAATTTTTACCCAACGTGACGATAGTTATGCACTATCGCCCCAATGTGACGTAAAGATACTGAACTCTTTGGACTTATTCACGACTGTATTAATTTTAGAATATAATTGCATTTTTGTCAAAGTTGCTTAAACGATCGCTATATTTTGGTAATATTGTCGGTTAAATGGATATTTTACTGAATTTGTTTTCATTTCTACAATACTTGGTGTAAATTTTTTAATCATGTATAAACATCGGTTTACTTAAGGAAACGTTTTAAATTATTTCACTACTAATGCATAGGGCTAACTGTATACATTTTTGCTGATTTATTTCACTTTTGAAAGTTTTTTGAAAAACGAAAATTTTGCAACATCTAAATATCTGACTGATGCATTAGCATCAGTGGCATCATCTTGGATACGCTTCAGACAGCGCCATTGCATTGCGGAAGCGATGAGGAAGTTATAACATCAACCTTAGAGGGGGCAACACATACAGCTTTTGAGGAAGCACTTGCACTAGCTTCAGGGGATGTTCAACATTCATCTAACAGGGAATTAGTTTTTTCAGTGCGCCCTAGTGAGGCTGATGCTATTAGCCTCTTCGGAAGGAATGATTTAGAGAAGGGAATTGACAGGTTTCTTAGTGTTATAGACTACTCCTTTAGACCTGCTGATGGTTTTGTTGCACCCATCTCAAATAAGGTAGCGGACATAAATTATCTTAACCACAATCACAGAGAGGAAACTATACCTAACCACAACAAAGCCATCATCAGAGAATATAAACAATGTTTTTTGAAACAGGCTTTTTAAATGCACATGAAAAACATGTGACATGGGTAAGACTTGAACTCGCACCTTCGGGAACTAGTACACCGCTTTACCTGTTGAGCTACCAAGTCCACTCATAACGAATAGATGTCAAATCTTTTCTAAACTGCTTATAGACGAGAAATTCTTACCACGATAGCAGTTTTCAGGATGGCTACGTGTTTCGACTTTATTCTGTAGACATCATCAGAGAATATACACAATATTA